TCCAACTCAAATGTATACATGATTGCTTGATGCCAACCGCGCCAGATTGCGTACTCCAACACGAAAGGAAGTGATACTAGAACGTCACTGGGACATTTAGCATTTACATTTACGAAGACTATGCAGAGAACTGCACTCAATAAAAGCACAAAGTTGCTAAGCTTCATCTGAAAAAAAAAAGATAAACTTTAATAACGTTAAAATTAATAACGATAATAAAAAATAAAAAAAATAAATTTTAATAACGTTTGTAAAAAAAAATGAAAAACGCATTACACGCAAGATTAACAACATTCAGAATAAAATATCGAATTCTGAAAGCAACGCCCAATATAAACGCGACTTTGAGCCCAAAAAACAACAATATTATTCTGTACTCACAAAAGTATTTAGCAAAAGGAACATTATTGTAAACTCTATTATATTTATTGCAAACTCTAATTTTTTTATTTTAATCGACCTTTTAGCTTTTGCTTTCATTTTTTTCTTCCTAGATAATTTTCAAACATTATAAATTTATTTTACGGAATATATGGTAATATTGTCCATTATGTACGTCTTTATTTTTATAACATTATGTAGAAGTTGTACCTTTTTATCGAAAAACTCATTGAAATTATCATATCCATCGATCACCGTCAATAATCGGATTGAGGTACAAATTCAAAATGTTCAAAATGTAATATTTGATTAAATAACTTCAGAACTTCACAACAAAACACAACAGCAATACTTAAGTAACTAACCTTCGTCGGGTGACTGTACTAGATGAGCTATGGTATAAACTGTGGTTCACACAACCACAACATAAAATGGAAAACTATAATTTTAAACTATGATTGCATTGATGATGTTTCTAACATAAAAAGTAAAAAAAAATATTTCCTTATCTTTTTCTAATACGTTTTTTAATTTATTCTGTAGAAAAACACAAACAAAAAATGTTACATATGTTTTCATTCTATCGATATAAGTACCTACATACAATCCTAGGAAATTTAAAGTATTTGAAATAAAAATATGCTGACACTAAAGAAATTTAAATATTTCACAGGTACGTACTTTAAAGTAATTATTTTTTCGCATATAATGTAATGCATATAATTATTCCGTGAATAATTCAAATAATTAATTAAGCAACAAGTATTTTTTTCACCACCAAGCACAAGAGATTAAAAACACCAAAATGTGAATTATGCCATTTATACAACAATTACGTCTTGCTCCCTGCCATAAGGAATTAGTTAAAAATATAGGAACAAATTTCAGACAACATACAACTAGCCTTAACAAACCCTATACAACAATATTGATGAATTAAATTATTCCAAAACACATTTACAATTGTCATGTTCATGATAAATCGCTTTAAATATTTAACGCCTTATGTGACAATTCTAATGAACGTATCTAGATGGATGTGACAAATCGTGCCGTGGCTTCTTTAAAAGATAAAGCAGTGCGATCATTCTTCAAGAATAAATACAATGCTACGTAAAGTAAACGTTACCCTACCCACAGTGATTGAAAACAACTTCGATTAGCTCCTAAACAAATATAATCAAAGCTATGAATGTCGATTACTCATTTTGAACTGAATTTCTCTTTGTTCCCCTGCTATTATATATTTTCTCCCTCGAGCGTTTTTGAAAACAATCTCAAAGAAGAATGCAGGGCAGAGCATGTAATGCTTTATTTAACAACAGAAAATTTCTCATCTGACATGTCAGGGCCATAGGGTAGACTTAAAAGAAAATTCATTTGAAACTTAAGATTTTTAACATCATTTATCAGAGATATAAACAGATACAACTTCAGTATTCCCAATAATGTCGGTCCCGGGATATGGGAGTACTGATGATCTACCAAATGAGGTTTTTTTTTCTTATCTGAAAAGTTGCCAAACGAGCAGACGGTTCACCTGATTGTAAGTGAAAGTGCTACACCCGAGGATTACAAATGTGTTGACAACCTTTTGATAAGTGGGCTCCGGCTACCTCACTCACCAGACGAAAAGCGAAAGTATTTTTCATACTTCCACTTTACGCTGGTCTTCTGTGAGGTCGTTCTACTTACCCGTACGGGCCTGCCCATTCGTGCAACAGCCAAGGCTGCTGTTTGGACCTACAACCGTAAAGAGAGTTTTATCTTCCTTTATGATATTTTCATGCTAGCAATAGTGAAAAGAGCAGTTGTTGATAAATTACTCATATACAAGACATTCGCCATACTTTTTTATTATTAAGTCAATGTGTTAATTACTCGGTAAGCGTTGGTCAACTCATAAGCTAAATTTTGGTCGGAATTTGGTGTTGATTTCCTCTCACCCAAACAGAGTTGCCTAATACAAAGTCAGCAATTGGTATTACCCCGAAATATTTTTGAACTTCTTGCTAAATCAGGCTAAATGGAATGGCTCGCATTTTCGGTCCAAACAATATTTGGTTATTAAAACCATCTGTGATTTTTAGTAAAATATACTAATTCAGTAACTACGAAAGAATCAGTCAAGGTTCTTAAGTGCAAACACTGGTTCACAGTATAACGGGTGCTTAAGTGTAGTTTTTTAATCCGTACTCTCAATCTCTTTTTAAATTTCATCTGAAACTTACAATGCATATGTTAAACCTTTGGCAGACACCCCATGTTAGTCCCGCAAAGTTCAAAAACTGCTGCAAGAGCTGACTCATTGTCTAAAACACTTCTGGGCCCACAGAAATACGAGTATATTGGTAGTTCTTGATGATCTTGATATTGTTGTCAACTATTTTCTTGGATTGAGTTGAAGGTTGAAGGAAATTTTTCCACAGCTACGTTTAAGTTAACCACTTAGAAACTTGGTAAATTATAGTCATCTCTATGTACAGGCCTATGTATAGTCATACTTTTAAGTTCACATAAATAATAATATACCCATAAGTCTTAAGGCCACGGTGGAAGATTCCTGTTCTAAGTAAATAACCAAATACCCCTTAAATGGAGGTGGATCAGTTCTACGTTGTTCAATGTATGTAGTCTTCAAGAATATAATATGTCATATTTTAACTGTTGGACTTGACTGATTCCGAGATTTCCATGAAATAATGATATAATATCTTAAATATGATTGAATGTTTCTTAGCTGTCGACTTGAATTCAATGTTTTTTTCTTGTGGTTGAATATTACTTATATTTCATTTTAAACATAGTTTCATAGAAACTTATTTGTGTGACGTAGCTATTACATTGCTAATTTTAACACATTTATAGTAAGTGGCGGTATTGGTGTTTGTTGCCACTGAATATTTTTTGCTTCAATTGTGTTTCCTAATTAACAGTACCGGTTGAGTGTTGTGTTAATATTAGGCCTTTACCTATGAAATTGCCGTTTTGAATGGAATAAGTAAAATCATTTATTTTTGAACTTTTTTATTTCTGATATGTGAAGTAATCGATGCATTGCCAAAGCAGTGGTAGTTTATTGACGCCCTATTTGTAAAAATCAACAGGACGGGTTTCAACAAACTCTTCAAAGGCATTTTGTACTGCCTCTCGGGAATTGAATTTTTTCCCGCTAAAAAGTTGTCCAAATTTTCAATCATCGTTGACCAAAGTGTCCAGATGACCACGAGGTTGATTTTTCAAGTCAAAATTTACAAAACGGAACCGGGAAGACTAATAACGTGTTGTGAATCTTTATTTTCTTCTCTAATCTTTTCTTTAATCTTTATTTCAATTCAGATGCAAGAATAAATGTATTGCAGATGTAGAGGAGGGGATGGTAATTTGGAACCCCCCTTTGTTTTTTGAGTATTTTAAGAAAACTATTTGACTTATCATCACAAACCTGTCTCTTTATATTTAAAAACTTATTACCTTTTATATTAGAAACTAATTTATAAAATAAAATCACTCATTATAGGAAAAAATTGCTTTCTTGGAAAAATAAAAAAATGTGTTCAAAGATTGAGATGCTGGTATTATGGAACCCGGGTTCCAAATTACAAGTATGAAATAAATTTACATACAAAAATCACAAATATAAAACTCTGTGTCACATCCTGCGCATTCAATATGTGTATATAACCTATATGATTGGCACTGAAACTAAGTTTCATCCTGTTAATCGTTGCAGTAATTTTCAGAACAAAAATGCAAGAAGCGTCATCTTGATTTGTAGGCTGGGCATGCGTGGTAACATTTTTTGACATTACAGTGTCACCTGAAGAAACAGAAGATTCCGAAGAGGTCGAATCCTCGCTGTTTAGAGAAGTTCTAGAAGACTTTGCAACACTCTACCCACCACTACGCCCACGAGCGCCTCTCCAAACTCTTCCCCGACCCCTTCCCCGACTTCTTCCTCTCTGCGCTATAGACTTGATTGACTACTCAAGTTGGTGTTTGTAAGGAGACCCGGTCAATAAAGTAATGCGGTTACTTTGGAACTCGGTTCCATATTACCTGCCTACCTATCGAGTTCCAAAATTAAAACCTTACTTTATTACCAAATGATCAAGAAAACAAAAACTAGTTCAAATAAATCTTAAAACTTACCTCTGACAATGTAAACTTATGCGTAGATACTTCGTGTAACACCTACTGTATTTACTTTTAGACCAAAACAAAAGTTTTGACAGTATTAGGAAATAAAAGTAAAAAACATTTGCAGGTGAAACAAAATTTCAACTTCTTATAACAGGTCCAAACTCGATGCAAAAATGGAGCTAATACGTTCAATTACATCAGTTCGACGTAATTTCATAGGTTTTCAACAGATTTCGTTGTCTGTTCCTGGGATATTAAGGGGTTCCAAATTACCACCTCTTCCCTGTATATATATACTCAGTTTAATTCGTGAAAGACAAAACATAAATTGGTCTAATCAATACTGAAATTATATAAAATAAAATGTAATCAAATATAATTTGTCAAGCAAACTCATAAAGAGGTCTAATAGTAATTGTTAACAATTCTATTATCCGACCTGCAACTAACAAGCGGTTCCGTTCACCCACAGAAAAATGGCCATTTCGTCTGTCACAGAGACGTCAATATTGGAGAAGCGAGTGTGTGAAACCTCTTTAATTGATGGAAAAAAACAAACTCGTAATAAAAACGACGACCGTTTCAATAATAACACGGAAGTATCGTGCGTTTATGAAGAAACGCGTCCCAAAGAGCCGAAATACTTGGAACCACTACGAGAATGGGAGAAGAAGATGGGATTTGTCACAGCGATTCGATGGACAAGCGTTATTCCAATAACAGTTTTTCATTTGTTTTGTGTCGCTGCAACGATTTATTACATTTATCAAGGATATGTGCCCAAGTGGCAAACAATAGTATTTGGTAAGCAATCATGAATTCCAATCTTAAAACGTAATACAAAGGTTGAATTTATTTCGAAACAAACTTTCCATGCTTTAACTAATTCTAAATAAAATTCTTCACTTTTTTCCAAAAAATACTGTTGAATACAGTGGTACAATGTTATTTTTAAGTGTCGTTATGAATTTTTGAGTCAACTTCTTTAAATATCCATTCGGCGTAATATGTAAAATGCGATAACATACCTCTATTTCAGCAATATGATATATTCGTCTAAATATAGGAAATTGGCTTATTAAAATTGGAATCAAAGGCGGATAACATACGACTAAAATGATCAAATTATAATAATTTCCATTGAATTGAAAAACTTAATAATTTACTTTTTATTATTGTACTTCAATTTCTATTTTATTGTAAAACGAATTTACCCACATAATTTTCGCTCGTTATTCAAAAATACATTCCTTTAAAATTATCGCATATCCTCAATGACAAAATTTATTAATTGTATAAGTTTAAATAACTTTACATTTTCAATGATCATAACAATATTAATTAATTAGTATGTGTATCTTTATAAAAGAGTAAAGTAGTAGCCTATAATATAATTGTCTCACTACTGTCCTTTAGCTATCACGTTATATAGACGTAATATACATTCTACTATTTATATAACTATCTATATAAATATAACTATTTATATAAATATAACTTTAGACCTCACAGAACACCGGCGTGAAGTGGAAGTGTAATACTTCTGCATTTCGTCTGGTGAGTGAGGTAGCTGGGGTCCACTTTATTAAAAGGTGGCAAGGCATCTGCAACCCTACGGTGTTCCAAATTTCCCTGGGCTGCGTTTACCACTTAAAATCAAGTGAACCGCCAACTCGCTTGCCACCTTCTCACATAGATTTACAACATATTTTCGCAGGATACGTTATAGGTCAAGTAGCTGGTTTCGGAGTAACGGCTGGAGTACATCGCTATTGGACGCATAGATCATACAAGGCTACTCTGCCATTACGCATACTTCTTATTATCTGTTATTCCGTTGCGGGACAGGTACTTATTTTTCATTATTTTTTTACGGGAAAAGGCAGTACTAAAATAAGTGAAACGCTAAGTGACTGCCGCCGCTGATTCGCACAGATCAGAGCAGACGCTTTGACAGCCTTTAAGAGACCACCATTTTGGCACGAAACATTCGTATGTCGAGAGAATTGAAGTTTATTTATGATGATAAAAATTAAAGATTTCTTTCCCCTTCATAATTTTTATGAAGCTTTTAGCTTTGGAAATAATAACACTTGCTCTCTAAACCTGTCAAGAAATTTAGGATAAAGCTGAATGATTTATTAAATTAAATCCGTTGCGAATTAAATTACTTTAATGCAAGTGTATCTCGTGTCTCATACGGACAAATTATAAGATTATAAAAGATTAGTGACCATTGAAATTTCTTAATATTTACATACTTCTTTTCTAGTTTCTTTGTGTCTATAAATATGTTTTAATCTAAAACGAACGTAATAGAATGCAATCAATTTTAATTAGATAACCTATTGCACGGACCGCTGTACTTTATTTACTGTAATGTACTTTACTGTTCATTTACAGAACAACATATACAATTGGGTGCGCGACCATCGGATCCACCACAAGTTTTCCGAGACGTCCGCAGACCCACACGATGCGCGCCGAGGCTTTTTCTTCTCCCACGTCGGCTGGTTGATGATGAAGAAGCATCCAGAAGTGATCAGAGAAGGACGCAAGGCTGACATGAGCGACATCGCTAACGATCGTCTTGTGCAGTTCCATACAAAGTAGGTCAACGTTTCTTGTTCAATTAAAACAAAAATCACGCTCCCCCAACGACAGTAACGTCTTAACCGCAAAATTTCGCAGGTATTTCAATACCTTTAAAATCTTCTTCTGCTTCTTGCTGCCGACTCTGACACCCGTTTATGGGTGGGGTGAATCCTGGATGAGCGCCATCATATCGCAGCCAATTTTAAGATACGTGCTTACTTTGAACTTCACCTGGTCCGTTAATAGCTTCGCTCATATTTGGGGAAACAAACCATATGACAGGTATTTATGACTTTCGTTACTACTCTTTAATAAAACGATCCAAAAGTAATTGATCGGACTACAGCGGTGCCTACAAAAAGAGTGTGCAGATGTGCGAAGTTATACGACTTTTGGCTGAGATATCATTAAGTTCTAAATCATAATCTGACTATTTGGTTCAATATCAAGATAATGCACTCGATGGCGCAGTTGCTAACTATTAACTTCAGCGTCGGAGGTCTTGAGTTCGATTCCCACACGGGACAAGTAACAAGTTGTGTGACTCACAGATAATTGTTCTGGATCTGAGTGTTTAATACCAAAGAGGGTTTTCGTCAGGTAGGCGGCCGGTCGTAAAAAACCGAGCTAAAACCACTCGCAACATAATTCACATGTTGTGCCGACTCCACCTATGGGATAAGGGCAGGAGATGATGATGGTAATGATTAATCATTGTAAACAACAATAAATATGTATAATATCGTTATTAAAACTCCAACATACGTTATGTAATTGCTAATTGCTAATTGTGTAATGTTAACATAGCTCACGCGGTAAAATGCCAAGAAAGCTAGAAATATTTTCTTGGTGGATGGTTATCCTTATTACGTGAATTTTGTCGATGAATGGACAAAAACTTTTCGGCACTGCAATTCCGATAAATGCGCCCAGATTACCAATTAGCTAAACGTCCGATCACCACACGATTGTTGCATGTTGTTGATCTTGTTTGCAAAGACTTAGCACTAGAAATAAAGTTACCGAATTTTAATATAATCTCCATATATTACATAGCCGGGTCATAAGTTCTGTCACACGTTTATGGTGGAATAGTTGGCGCCTTTTGTTTTTACAGTAACCGTTTGTATGAACTCAATAGAAACATAGATTCTTATGCTAACAAAGCCTATGCATAATGACCCCCGCGATTTTGAATAAAAGCCCTCAACCTGCAAGGGCCAATCTATAGCAGCACGAACTAGGCCCATATCAATATAGGAGACTGACCTGGAGAGACTCCAAACCAGGATGAGGCTTTGAGCTGACCTTTTCCTTCAAGTGTTACCATATTTTATATTTATAATCCAACGGATTTAAGTCTGGATTGGAGTAGGGCCAGTCTTCGAGTCGGATGAAGTCAATTTCACGCACCGCCAGCCAGTGTTGCGTGATTTTCGCTCTATGGGCTGACGCAGTATCTTGCTGGAATATCCAGAGTCTGTCATTGAATATGGTATGATAAAGAGGTTCCACAATATTACTGTATTTAAATAAATAGTTGCATTCGTTTTATGCCTTTCTCACAAAAATATACCTCAGTTAAGCCCGAATATGAAACTCCCAGCCAGTGAGTGAGTGACGATGATCAATTGACATGCGGAATACGGCTGCTGGCTTCTTCACTGTTGTGAACTTTGTCATTTTGTTTATTGTAGCTTTTCGTCGTAATAGTGATTAATTAATTAATCACTACAGCACTTTACTACGAAGCGCCTAATTTTCAATATATATTTTCATGGAGTAATAAACGAATCTTTTGGTTAGGTATATTAAGGTTTTAGAACTGCTGAAAATTATATTATAATTTTATTATAATTTTCAGTAGTTCGAAAATCTGATTTGCAACGAGGTCTTCATTGAACGTCCACTCCATATTTAAAAACAAGTGAATTCTAAAGTTTTCATTATGTGACAGCGTCTATCACCCGCTTAGGTATTTCGCCAAGGTGTTTTTGTCGGTACGCCGTAACTTCTATAATTCTTCTTAATGATTCAAACACCATTGAAAACATGAAGAAAAATAGTATAACGTCTTTCTTAAAAAACTTTAGTTAAAAATTTTCATTTAAAGAATCCGTGATAATGCAATCTACTATATATTTGATGATATTATTATTTTTAATTTTTTTGACATTTATCTATTATATTTTTGATGACTGTGGTACGAAGCAGTCTTCTCTGTTGCACGAATGGGGTAAGTACCACGACCTAACAAAAGACCTACCTTTTCCGAGGTAACTGGGGCCCACTTCTGTAACCCTACGAATGTTGCAAATGTAATTGGGTTGCAGTTATCATTGAACCGCCAACTAGTTTGCGACCTTCTCATATAAAAAATGAAAGAATTATGAAAATTATGGGGTACCGAAAAAACCTCTCAGAAATATTATACAGCGTGTCGTAACAACCGTGACAATAAATGAACACAGGTTTAACGCAACTTTACCAAAAATCCATAATTAAAAAAAAATATTTTCAAACAAATTAAATAATAAAGTAACAAAATTTGTAACACCTATATAGCTTCAACTGACTGATTCATTTACTGATTTTTACATTTAGAGACTTTCATTCGTTGCCACAACGTCGCTTTACAAGTCTCTCCTTGTTTAACAGTATGTTTTCTCTCTTTTAAATTCATTCAACCCATTCATATGCTTTGTGACCTTTACAAATGAACTTTACGTTACAGTTTAAAATAAATTGTTTGTTTTAGAAAACTCGGTGAGTACGGATGTTTAAAGAATGTAAATGTTTAATACAATTTTAAAAAGTTGTCCTCTATATGTGTGTTCATTTATTGTCGCGGTTGTAACGAAACGCTGTATATAGATAGGTGTTTACAGTTATTAATAACTATAAGCATTGAACATTGAACTTATTTGAAAATATGTACCTATAAAGAAATATATAAAAAATTACTTTCTAGACATATAAAGCCCGCTGAGAATTGGGCAGTGTCTGCCGTGGCGATGGGTGAAGGATGGCACAACTATCACCACACTTTCCCGTGGGACTACAAAGCATCAGAATTGGCATACGTCAATAACACTACCACATTCATTCTCAACCTTTTCGCAAAAATAGGCTGGGCGTATGATTTGAAGCAAGCTTCTCCTAGCCTCATCAAAGCTGTAATACAAAACAGGGGAGAAATTGCACATCAAGATTAGATAAGAAACAAAGTTTTAACCAAATTGAAAGCGAATGCGGAGGGATTGCCTATTATATGTATATTTAAAATAAATTAAATTATACCTTTTTACTTTATTCAACTGTATTATATATTTTATGTAATATTTTATTATACCTACATATCCCAAAGGAAAGCTTACAAGAAATGCCGGCACGTCAATTTTTCTCCTTGCTGAAAGTGTATAGCAAAATGTAGACACTACCTACCTATATCGGCAATGCATATAATATTATTTTAATTAATGAAATTAATAACATTAATTTATATAAAACCTTCCACGATCCACGATCTTCGCAAAATTATATGTTTAATGTACGTTAATTTTGTTTTATCAAATAAAGATTTCGTTGAGCTGAGGGGAATTTCTTTGATTTCATGCTTCCAAGAAATTACTTTCGTAAAAAAAAATAAGCAGGTTTTTATCTTCACAAAATATTTAAAACTTTTATCTACAGTAATAATCATTTGCTTAACAAAAACTAATGGGTCAACTATGTAGACCTGACAAAAGGAGAAAGATTAAAAATGTAAATGAATTTGGCAATTACAACCTTAAAACTATCATAAAAGTAGCATAAAAGTAGCTAGGTTTCTATGCTCAGTGCTACTCTAATCTGGGGTTCGCAACAATATGATGAACATTTTAATTATATGGTAATTTCACATCAGTGTACAACATACCATAACGTAACAGTATTAAGTAAAAATTTGCTCCACGAGGTGCTAAATATTGTTTAGTATTGACTTTTAGATTATTCAAATTTTTGTACAAATATATAAATATTCTTGGTTATGTTAGTGTAATTAACATTATTAAAGTAGAGATACGTCCGTAAATGATATAAAGTTTCATTTGGCACAGTGCGCAAAGGCTAGGTTTCTTCGAGCCGATTGGGTAGACCGGCAAAGTCATTTAAGTAGTAAACGTGTTGTTTCCGGCTTAACGAAGAACTGTCTCCCACGCCAAAGCCAAGAGGAATCCACACTGGGTCAGGTACTAGTGTAAAGCCGGCATAATTGATGAGGGCTGTCGACTTGGCTAATTGAGCCCACTCTGGATGCGGATGGTGCAGATAATAATAATAATAGTTTTATTTATAAACCCAACCAGACGAGAAGACAAATGAATATCACCCCATAATAATAATAATAATAAGCAGAGGACATGTTAAAGCTAGAAGACGCAGTGCAGGGGCGGTGCCCGTAGCAAATTCTTTCAAACAGGCCTTAATCTGCCATGGGTTCTTAAGTATAAAAACTCAAGCACAGATGAGTAGGTAGTAAAAGTTAAATATGCGGGGTCCCTTTGGCGCGGGGCCCGTAGCCTTTGCTACTCTTGCTACATGGTGAATCCGGCACTGGGAAGACGAGGAACCACTGTCCCGGTCCTCGCAACGTAAGTTGAGACAGAATAACTAGCGGGGAGAGGATTAGAGGATTACTGGCGAGACAACACCGCTTATCCAATAGAGGTACTGTGGGGCCACAGCTCAGGTCAAGGCAAGTCAACCACTGGAGGCTGTGAGGCGTGCTGAAGCACCCAACGCAATTTTTTTAAAAGGTTGTTTTTATGTTGAAATGAAAAGTAATTGTTTTTGAATAATTGATACAACTTATTTTTAAAAAAGCACTCATATTCAATATTCAGTCCCGTCCGAGCTTTGACCCCCTCCAAACGTGATGTCCAGATCCACAGCTGATGAGAATACATAGCTAGGTTGGGGGAATATAGATAGTTGTTTTTTGTCGTTCGTTATTAAAATCTTAATTAAATTTCATTGTCGCTGGTCGCTTTGATGTACATACTTTCAAACTTCCTTGTAGAGCTTTATCTAAGACACGTAGCGTGTAATTATATTTTATAGTCCTGAGAACAACTCCTTCAACGAACTGATGAACGTAATATTTGTTTTAATCAGGTAATTTTTAATATACATCACGAGGCTTAACATGACACACATTAGACCTCAGAGTACCGTACCACAGTCTTCTCTGTGCAACAAAAACTGTTATTACTGTAGCAAAGTAAGCGATTTTATTTTTCTTAGACAAAAGTTCTCCTACTTTATAATCGAAAAAACCGCGGGACTTGAAACCAATTTTCCCTATATACAAAAGTACTCTGTGCTTGAAACTTTCTAACATTCACGGGACAAAAGCAGATTTGAATAGCTACACTGTATTGAAAGTCGTTATTTGACTGGTAAATCTTATCACCGAATCACACTTCGATCCGTTATACGATGACTTTTGCATTGCACGTAGATAGACAATTTTATAAATAAAAAACTCAATTTAAAGCGACAATGGATTACAATGACCTTGTAATAATTTATACAGGGTGTCGTTACCATCGCGACAATAAATGAACGCACGTCTAACGCTACTTCATTCAACCCATTCATATGCTTTGTGACCTTTAGAAATGAACTTTACGTTATAGTTTTATACGTAAGGATGTTCTAAAATTCTTTGTTTTGGAAAATTTGATAACTCGGTAAACATTGATGTTTAAAGAATGTAAATCTTTAATACAATTTTAAAAAGTTATCCTCTATATGTGTGTTCAGTTATTGTCGCCATTGTAAAGACACGCTGTATAATACTCTTCCCAACCCTACGAGCTGGAAGCACATGAGAACTTAATTTTGAAAAAATATATAACGTAGATGATTGGCATACATCAATTACAAATGTGAGAAAGTGGCAAAGGAGCTGGCGGTTCACCTGATGTTAATTGATGACCACCGCCCATGGACATTTACTACACCCGTAGGGTTGCAAATGCGTTGCCAAATTTAAAGTGGGCCCCGACTACCTCACTCACCAGACGAAACGCAGAAGTTGTAACACTTCTACTTTACGCCGGTCTTCTGTGAGGTCGAGCGAGGTACTTACCCGGATGGACATGCCCACTTATTTGGTAACACTGTTATAAATTAAATAACCCGTTTCTTTCGATGTTATATCTTACCTAGGGATTCATCTGTCAATGTACAACTTACAAGTATTTTGGCTTTGAAAATTAAATTTGCCATATTAAATTTAATATTGTGCGCGCATCAAGAAAAAACAACTATTTCAATTTAATCATCTAATTTTTTTCTTAGGCATAACCAAAAATTATCATTTAATAAAGTCGTTTAACAACGATTTTTACTACTCGTTCAAAAATGTGATTTCTTGCCGATATTAGTGATTCAAGCGGAAGATTTATATGTATTATACATGCCTATAATATTAAAGAAATATTGCACCCGTGCAAAGCAGGGGCAGATCGCTAGTTGTCAATAAGCAACAAAAACCAACCAACTAGTATTTCTTAAATTCATCATGAATATCTTCCTGCAGTGAGAAATCACTTATATTCATTGATATCACTCATATGAAAAGTAAGCTTAAATAAGTTAATTATTATGGTAGGTAAGTTAATACAAGTTCATTTTTGCATTCATGTATTTGTAGTGTTGTATAATTAACGTACCGACTATAGACCTCAATTTAATAGTCCAATATAAATAAACAATGTATAACGAAACTATCAAAATCATTAAACAGAAGCCATTAGGAGGTAAATGAATTAGTTGTTATTAAATTTTAAAATGTTTCCTTACTTAGCAGCAAGGTGTTACATACAGGTCTTGCAACTCAAATTAACATTTAACAATCATAGGGAGCAACACCACTGTAGAAGGAAAACCCAGACGGCGCTATGATCGAGAATAAGATAAAAAAAATTAAATCCTCAATCGTGATACATTAAATACACATACTCCATGTGGGTTTCGTTCGCTTTTCAGGTGTATGGTTATTTGTGACTTCTGAAAAATTTAAGTAGCCGAGCAACTATCGTCATCGTTGTCACAAACGATATCGATCGCAACGACCCTAGCAGACTCACGCGATAAGTGTCGTACATTGAAACGCCAGAGTTGCATGACCTGCATGAAACCCCATAGATACCAGTTAATTAATTTGTGAAAATCTCCCGTTTTATCATTTAATTAAGTTTGTGTAAGTTGCTTCTGGCTTTTAATTGAAGTTGAAATTAAAACTACATTTTGTAAGCTCTCAAGTGACATTGCAAATGGACAATTAAGATGTCAAATTAAAGCTGTTCCAAAATTACTAGGACCTAATCTTTAACCAGAACCTACATGTACTCTTTCTTTAAATAACTAGCATATAGAAAAATAAGGAACTTTGTTGTTCACTTGTGCTAAACAATATAGGTGTAAAAAAAATATATTGTAAACATAAATGGCAAAGTAAAAATATAACAACAATACAATCGTTAAGAGTAATAATTATATGTTCCAATCATTAAAAAAAATCTTTATTATATAATTTGAGTATTCAACCCAAAAATGACTTATAGCACATCTCTAATATTAATGACTAAAAAATGCTCCCATACGACAAACAAATTTATGGACACACTTTTAACTACTTGGATACTCTAATCTGCATTAATGACAATAAGTACCGCTGAGCTCATTTGTGCACATATTTCTATCTATAGTAAGGATTATGGAACATTACATTATTATCAGGTAAAATTACTAAACACACTCTAAGCAATCACATTTAAAACCCTAAGGCAGGAATTGTAATGAGTAGTATATCTCCATTTTTACAAACTTGAAGTGGTGAAATTCAGTAACAAATTCTATGACCAGGCCATTAACTACTCTCCACATTCAACAACTTTACCCACCTACTTTAAATATTATGTTTGGGCAATAAATATCTAAGTCTATATAATATTACATATTCTTCACCACCACTTTGTAAATAAGTAGCAGTAGTCTTGTAGTAGGAGAACAAAAATGTCTAACATGGAATTCAAATAATTATTGCCCTGCATCACTTAAAATTATTTTATGTGCCAAATTAGTTTATGCATAAAATAACATTCTATGACACATAGTTAAGTTTAACACTATAATTACAACTGTTGAAAAACTGCCTGATATAAATATTACAATATTTTTGTGTGAATGTGTGAATGACTTTTCTGTCCTATAATAGAAGACTTTTGCAATACACAATAGGATCTTCTATATTAAATTAATGTGAACTTTAAAATCAGTCAAAGCTTAAAGGAAATCTCACTTTATTTTGCCATTCTTTGTTACCTCTGGTTTATTTACTACAGCATCAATTTTTGGTTCTTTTACTGGCCTAGAAGCTCCCTCCTCCTTTGTGGTTTTCCTTTTTAAGCTGATTACTTTGTTTGAATATACACCATCATCGAGATTACCTTCGCTTTGTGAAGCTTTTCTTTTCTTTGTTTTTGTTACAATGATATCAAAGTCTGAGGAGTCATCATCAAAACCACAATAAGCTGGCACAGTTCGTCCACTTCTAGTAGATCTCACAGGCTGAACCCTCGTAGACTCTTCAAGTATTTGAATTGGAGGTGGCCAAGCAGCAAAATTGACACATTGTCTAGCTTGTCTATAATTGTTTATTGACATCATTTTTATGTAGACTGCAAGTGTATGAGCTTTCTCAGCAGCTGTTATGGTGTTAGGTAAAATACTCCAAGGCATTCTTCTATCCCTAACATTCAAATATTTTCTCTTCAAATTAATTTTTGCTGTTCCACTACATTGATAGTCTTCAACCTGCAAAAGAGAAATGTAGAGAAAATGTGAAGACAATAACCATAAAAATATTATTAAACTACCTTTTGCCTTAATCTTTCCTCTTCTTTAACTGTTGATTTTGAATTTTTTAGGGCTTTAAGAAGATCGACCATTTCTTCTTTACTAAGGTTTTCTTCATGTAAGTCAAATTCTGAAATTAAGGCAGTTTTATTTAATAAAATATGATTTGAGTTTTGATATGATTTGTTATACCTTCTGAATAATGATCGGTCTAGGTGTCGTGCATTGGGAAAATCCAATAGCCAGTGTTCTATTTTGAGCTGGAGATGATGATAAATCAAGAAAACTGTCCTTTTTTCAACAAAATTAATTACCAAGTTGATAGAATACGAAACGACCTGTTACCGATTGTTGCCGTCATTATTATTCTTGGTACGATGTTATGATACCAAGAACAATAATAATTAATGTGATTACTTCTTAAAGCGTTGAAATATTACAATTTAACAATACCTTAATGAATTCATATTTCATTTTGAAAAGAGTAAACTATCAGCTATATATAATAGAATTACCACTCAATAGGTTTTTCATGGTTTTCATCTCCGAATCGCAACTATCATCCGAGGTCAAAGCAGATTCCATTTTACTATAATATCTATAATTTCTTTTATTTAACAACGGAGTATTAATGTGTAATATACAAATTCAGTGCATATTTGGATAACAATACTTTTCAAATGTTTTTATTTTGTAAATAAAGAATACGTCACTCTCACTTTACATTGACAACAAATTAAAAAAAAACATACTGTCACCAGCCAGTCAGGGTTGGATTTAGATGCGGTAAAAAAGATAATACAAAAGGATAGTATTTGACAAAAAATTATCGTAGTTAATACACAAAAAATACATTATTTTACTCCAAAACTCGCAGAAAATTGTTATCACTTTGAATTTAGAATAAGAATGGAACGGCCGTACCATAAAAATAATAATTTAATCGTACTATTTGGCAATTACGAACTCTATTAATTACCTCATTGAGTACAAAGTGACTGTTTGAGAAAGCGGAGTATTAAAAAAAAGTTCAATTATTGTCAAAAAGTCCAAAGTATTAAAAAAAGTTAAAGAAATACAACGTGATTACAACCCGTTAAAAAACATCGTTAAAAACATTAATATTTAGTATACATAAAATTCTTATCTTTAATTTAATAATGAATAGCTAGTTGAACCTCCATACCATATTCCATTGGCCGCGCATGTCATACAGCATACCTGCTAAATTATGCAATTCATGCATGACGATCAACGAATTAGCAATACTATTTTGTATTCGTGTAATCCAGCCGCCAATCAGCCTTCTACTGATTGAGATTCACCCCGAGCAATTGTTACTAAGAACCCAATACTCGATACAAGCGGGCATAGTGCCCGCTTGTATCGAGTATTGGGTATACAGTCAAAAAAATGAAAAAAAGACAAAACTTTTAACCTTGCAATACATAATATATGTTTCTCCGTTTATTTACAAATGGCAGCACCGACACATTCAGCAGTACCAATATGTCAAGTGCATGTATTTGTCTTTTATTTTTTATTTATTTCTTTAAAACTTAGTAATGAAACTAAAACATCTATTTTTTTGGTGAATGAACTAACCTCTTAAAATGTTTAAATTAAAGCAATAATATTGATATGCCATAATATATAAAATAAGGTCGAGTATTAATAGTGTTCGATTGTGAAATAGTTCTCTAATATATGGTGATGAGCTCAAAATGGAAGAAGAGTTAAGATGTTTTGTTTGCAAAGAATTTTACAAGGAACCAGTATTGTTACCATGTGGACACGCACTGTGTCGCGTTTGTGCAGTTAGTTTACAAAGTCATTTACCCGAAGTCGACAATGCTACAGGGACAGTTACCGACTATCAAGAAGCGGATAAAGCGTCTGTGTCGAGTGAAACGGACAGTGGAGTTGTTTGTGGATCAAGACCGAATAGTTTTGCGGGGACGCCGGCCACTGCTACCTACAGCTCGGCCGCATTTAGCCTCGTGTGTCCGCAGTGTAACAAACAAATTTTCCTAGATGACAATGGTGCCGAGGGACTGCCGCCTTTTCGAGTCATGCGTACTATTGTGGAGCGATTTGGTGGTGTGGTCGGAGCACCTGCTGCTGAAGAAGCTTGTCAGATGTGTGAAGGAGAAAGGCGTGCAGCTGTTGTAAGATGTGAGCAATGCTCAGTTAGATATTGTGCCGGCTGCCGCGATGCCTGGCACCCTACTCGTGGCCCTCTAGCGCAACACGAATTACGCGCTCTCGGGACCACATGCACTGATCATGGTTCACCTCCAGTTCTTTTTTGTAACACATGCTTAGTACCCATCTGTCAAAGATGCCTTGCTGAACGTCACTCCGCCCATGAAACACAACAGCTGTCTAGTGCAGCAAGAGCTCACAAGGTGAGGGATATCATGTTATAACAATTTTTTTTTATATTATTTTACCTAATTAATAATTTTTTTCCAGACTGAACTATCACAATCATTACAGCAGCTATCAGAACAAGCTAAAGCTATGACTGAGTATATACAGCTTGTCAAAGGATCAGGAGATAAAATTAATGTGAGTAAAATCATTTTGTAAACAAAAATTCCGATGGAAAAGGGATGAGTGAAATGTTATACATATTATATAGTAAAATTTTAAATAAAATTTGACATAATTTAAACTTTTTTCATTGATTATTAGATCATATTATACATCCTTATTTCTATATTCTTATTAAATTGTAATATGTATCTTTCATCATACCAATAACATTTTAACTTTACTCAATAAATTAGAATGCCCATTTTATAATTTTTTCCCAATATATTTCATATAATTGTAATAAGTTTTTATCTTATAGTTAAAAATACACAAACAACTGCTTTAATTAAAACCGTACCTGACCAAATTTGTCACATTATACATTCATGTCATTGATTAGAATAATTTATTTAATTTTAATATTTGTATATTTATCAATGACATCATATTTACTGTGTATTGTAATAAGTATTGTCAATTTTTAGACTATCCTGTTGATATAATTTAAAACTGATAGAAAATGTTACTTCCCTTTTCCTATAATCATTATAGAATCAACTAATTGATGTTCGAAGCCATTTCATTTGTTCCCTTTCATTTGGAAGCAATGTCTTTGTCTATGTAATTTTCATTTATTGAAAATTGTGAGGCCTAGTAGTTCCTTAAATGTTGTCAGAGGCTGCAGGCTACACAGCTGGTTTCGACAATCCCACACAGTTAGTGGGGGGTGGGGTCGATTAACTAATAGTTAATAGGCCTGTGAAGATCGAATGTTAAACTCCGTAATTGCTTAAAGGACTCGTGCGAGGAGCTGGAGAGGCAAATAGACCAGGCGTGCGCCGAAGTGGCGCGTGCCATCGACCGTCGCCGGGACGAGCTGGTCCGCGCCGCCAGGAACACGCGCTCCCAGGCGATCGCAAACATGCGCTCGTTGACCTCCCACGCCGCGCAGAAACTCCGAGAGGCGACCGCACTGCTGCACTTCTCCATCGAAGCTTTGAAGGAGTCAGATCACGCAGCCTTTTTGCAGGTGCGACATCTTTGCGTGTAGCTCTCACCCCGCCCAATTATTTATTAATTTATTTATTTAAGCATCATTGCTACACCTTAAGCTAAGGGCTACAATGGGCGGACTTAATGCCTAATGGCATTCTCTACCAGTCAACACTTGTCATGGTGAGAAGTATATTGTAGGTGCAATTATGTTAGCTTTACCCGCGTAGCTCTGTTCTTTACCCAAGTAAGTCTGCTCGAAGGCGCACAATAACACCAGACACATAGTTCTAGCGTACTTTTTTTATATAAGATGGCAAGCGAGATGGTGGTTCAACGAGATGTTAAGCGATGACCGCCGCCCATGGACATTAGCAACTCCCGTAGGGTTGCAGATGGGTTGCCATCTTTTAATAAAGCGGGCCCCGGCTACCTCACTCATCAGATGATACATAGAAGTGTAACTCTTCCACTTCACGCCGGTCTTCTGTGAGGTCGGGGTATTTCCCCAGACGGACCTGCTAGCAGGCCAAAACAGCAAAGACGTAGTTGCAAGTGTAGCACGATTGGGCAGCCAACACGACACATACATTAGGCAAAACCACGATTCCGGATAGCCTCACCGGTTATACCCAGCAATTAATAAAGTATATCGCGATTGGGGCCATGATACCTTCCCAACCCCGATAGATATTCGAATAATACCGTTATTATCAGAATATAGTTTGTATTTAGTTATTTTTTCCATCCCAAATTTCAAAAAAATACACGGACAAAATTTTGCGTTGTTGTTATTAGTGCGATAATAATATACGCTGCGTTTCAATATACTGATTGTGTGTAAACCGCAATATTATTATCGATGGATAATGTTATCTATGTGTGCCAACTAGCAATAGGCGTGTCTACTATGGTTATCATTATCTGTTGTATTTCGTGACTAGTATATTATATATAGAAAGCGATTAACCTATAAGCTACCAAAACAAAGGCGTGGTGCGCTGATAAGATTGTATTAAAAAACAAAAACTTTAATGTTTAAAGTTTTCCTTATCGATTCCGTTTTCGTCAATGGCATACCATTTGATATCATAATCAGCGCGATCATGTCTTAATTTTCAACTATGTATTATGATTATATTTACAAACATTACCCAATATTCACAAATGATTCATCTACTTTCCAGCTCAACTATTTTTTAAATATAACGGATGTCAACTTTGTATGCGTCATAGCGCTAAATTATGCACTTGCAAACTTTGGTAAGACTGCTGCCATGCTATTAAATTAATATTTTAATGTTATTATTTAATAATTTTCAGGTGTTGTACTATAAAATTAAGTGAGTGACAGTCTATATTATGTCTCACTGCTGGGCAAAGGCCATCTTTATACAGGGGGACATTAGGGCAAATAATTCTCATATCTTCGAATTATTATTTCGAAAATATTCAGGTTTTTTCACGACATTTCCCTGCCCTTCACCACTTAGTAATTAATAATAAGGCAGCACTTAAATTGCAATCAAAAATTTCATTGGTGCAGTCACCGGGACTCGGGCTTAGGTCGCTCGAGTATTATTCAATTGAAACCGCCCGGGCACTATAACGGATGTGGTACTATTAACTGCTATTATATAGCTACTAGCTGCTGACCGCGACTACGTCTGCGTAGAATATGCTGTAGACGCAACAATCAGACAGAAAGGCAGATATACATAAAAATATGTATATAAATTATAGCCTATGTGTTATTTTGATATATAAGCTATATTATTGTAAAGTTTCATTGAAATCCATTAGTATATGCGTGAAAGAGTAACAAACATCCATCCATACATACAAACTTTCGCCTTTATAATATTAGTAAGGATTGTGTCGTTTGTAGGTCGGCAGCATTTTGTCAGCGCGCGCCCAGGAGACGGCTTCGGGACTGTGCTCATCCCTGGACCCGCCGCCCTCCCCCCCAGCTCTCACATTGGACATAGAGCCGGTCATACGCACAGTGAGGACTATGAACTTCGTCGAATGCATACGTAAGAGATATGTTTTAAGCGTTCACTATAAATATCCACTCATACACAAAGTATAGATATGTTTGACAGTATCAAAAGATGGTGCCATTTGTTAACACGCTGTTAACGTTGTAAGGAGATATTTTCCCTTTCGATATATCGAGGCTGATATTGATATTTTTATAAATATCGATATATTGATCTATTTCATCACTTTCGGCATCCCTATTCCTTACTCTCGTTGATGTTTTCAACAGCTACATACGTGGGATTACAGCACTTAGCATTTCATCGATTTTGACTTGTGCCAGTCACGGGATTCGAACCAAGTATCTCAATGATTGTGCATTTGAAAGTATTTGCCCGAACTCTTGCACTGCCTCAGCATTATGCGACACTTGTTTTTGCCCAAATTCCTTATAAAGAATGCGTTGTAAATATTTCTACATAATAACAATAAGGTACAGACCATTAATAACTCTGCTCAATTACTATCGGACTGCAGCTTTGGAAAAGCAAATGAAGTCATCAGGTAAGTGAATTAGTGGTTGGTGGAATATTTTTATTATAGATAATTATCATTGCTTAACCCAACATGCATAAAATATGTCTATTAAATTCCAAAAAGCTAGTGAAATGGATTATTAAAAGGTGACAATGCATCTGCAACCCTACGTTGCAAATGTCCATGGGCAGCAGTTATTACTTAACATCATGTGAACCGTAAGCTCGTTTGCCACTTTTCAATTAAAAAAAATGAAATCGTATTTCTTGTGTTTTGAATAATCGGATTATCTACAAACTAAGGTGATTCGAGTCCCAGTTTTTTCATTAACTGAACTGGCAGCTTACGTATTGTAAAGTTTTTGTATAATGAGGAGCTGTTTATTTCTATTTGTCGCAACCCTAGCAATAATAATCTTGCAAGTTTCGCGGAAAAAGCAGAAAAGATGTGTTTTAAGCATAATTTTTTCCTACAGAATACTGTAGAAAAATAAAATTACTGTGTGATTGCCTAATGGAATAAAATTAATAAAATTAAATTCTCTGTGAAGAAACCTTTAAATATTAACTTACCGGTAATCGAAATACCAAATTACTATAAAGGATATTTATCGAAACTGAGCCTGATGTAACAATAATTATGAACGCCTGTATCCGACATTGATTCACGAAAAAATAAACGTAGCGGACGCTCTTCCCGATCCTGTTTGTAATACGAAACCTACTTCTTAAGGTTCTCGGAATCAAACGATTATTTTTTTTAAATTTTGTAACGTGCAGACTTGCTTCTGATTATGTAAAATGTTTAATTAACTTTCTGCCCATCTGTATTAGTCGCTAAATCTTTACCTGGTTCATAGGCCTAGGGAATAGATACCCGACACCCCCACAAAAATTACTTCTCTCTATTAAAAGGAAAAAAGTTGCAGTTGCCATGGTATTGGCTTCGATGCCGGCGGTCGTGAGTTCGATTCCCACACGGGGCTAACTATATATGTTTCGGATCTGGGTGTTTGTCTTCGTGAAATTTATGTATTATTATTATTATATGGGGGATATTCATTTGTTTTCTCGTCTGGTTGGGTTTATAAATAAAAATAAAAACAAAAATAAAGATATAGATATATATTGCATATATGAAATAAATATTATGGATAAAAATAGACATATATATATATATATATATATATATATATAAATATTTTATATAATACATATATAAATAGGACCCAACCAGACGGAAGCCCTCGGCAGGGGAGACCAAACGGCCGAGGGTTAGGGCGAAAGGGAGAGAAACCGGCGGACGATGCGGGCGGTATCGAGGAGCACCGCCTTCTGCATTTGAGCCTGGAGCGATCCGTCCCGGAGTCCCAGTCGCCTCAGATGTTTAGAGAGGCTGACTGGGATCAACCCATTCGCAGACACGACTATCGGGATAATTTCGGTCGGCACACCACCCCACATGTCGGTCACCTCGTGAGCCAGGTCCAGATACTTCGTCTTCTTATCTGTTTCGGCTTTCACGAGGTTCTCGTCATATGGAATGGTAATGTCGACCAAAAATACCCGCGACTGTGCCCGGTCCATCAACACGATATCAGGTTTGTTCGCGACAATTGTCCTGTCTGTGATGATGGACCGGTCCCAATAGAGCCTGGCGCGGTCATTTTCGAGCACGGCCTCCGGAGAGTACTTATAATACGGCAGTTTCCGTTCCACGAGGCCGTATTTCAGAGCGAGCTCCTGGTGTAGGATTCTGGCTACTAGGTTGTGTCTATGCAGATACTCAGAGTTAGAAAGCATGGAACAACCGGAGATAACATGCCGAAGCGACTCCCCGGGATGGCGACAAGCTCGACAGATGTCGACGGTGCCATCCTTTAGGATGTATCCTCCTATAGTTGTTCGTCTTAATAACCTGATCCTGTATCGCACAGACAAAACCTTCGGTTTCCCCAAAGAGGTCACCGAAACGTAGCCAGTTCAGGGAGGCAACAGTATCTACGAAAGGCTCGTGTAGAGCCTTGTAGAACCTCCCGTGGAGCTCTTTCTCCTTCCATACAGCCTCTCGGTCGGAAACGCTCAGTACTCCCGGGTCCTGCCATTGCTCGTTGGCTAAGGATAGAGGGGTAAGTCCTTTATCACAACTAATGACGTCCGTGTAGATTGACTCATCCGATCTCGCCAGAAAGTAGTTACGGAGGCTGCACACCTCGCGATTGTGCATGGTGAGGGCGCTTAAAAAGCCCCTCCCGCCATGCTTCCGCGGAAGGTACAGCCTCATCACTGACGATCTCGGATGATGCATTCTGTGGGACGTCATAGTTGTGCGGACTTTTCGGTCCAGGGCGTTGAGCTCAGTTTGAGTCCACCTGAGTATGCCAAAGGTATACATGAGGACTGGCATGACCCAGCCGTTAAAAGCACGTGCCTTGTTCCCGCCTGACAAATGGCTATTAAACACCTTTGTCAGGCGTGCAAAAAACACGTCACGAACTGACTGTTTCATGCCAGCCTCATCGATACACATATTTTGTGACATACCCAGGTATCGGTATGTTTCAGCCTCAGAGAGGGTCCTTATGTTAACGGGCATAGATAAGTCTATGCCCGCCGTATTAGTGACCTTACCCCTTTCGACATGAAGGACCGCACACTTATCCGTCCCGAGCTCCATTTTGATAGAATTGCTGAAATCACAAGTGCTTTAAGCAATTCCATCAAATGGGAGCGATTGGAGGCGAATAACTTGAGGTCATCCATGTAGAAAAGGTGGGTCACTTTTGTCCCTCCTCTCCGAAGCTGAAATCCTCCCCCCGAGCCCTCCAGTAATACGCTGAGAGGATTCAGGGAGAGGCAAAACCATATTGGACTCAAACAGTCGCCCTGGAAAATACCCCGTCGTATCCTTATCCGGTATTCCGCAGCCGTCATCCGCTCGCCTAGATGACAAAGGATCGTACTCCATTGCCCCATACAGTGCTCGAGGAAGTCTCTTACTGTACAGTCTACTTTGTACAGTTCGAGGACCCTCTTTAGCCATGTATGGGGCACCGAGTCGAATGCCTTTTTGTAGTCTATCCAGGCGGCGGAGAGGTTCCGACGGTTGCGTTTAACCATTTTACCAATGACCGCGTCGATGAGAAGCGGTTCCTTGGTTCCACGACCGCCGCCCCGACATCCATTCTGAGTACGAGACATAATCCGATTCACATTAATATGCCGGGTGATTCTCATACTCAGGATAGATGTCAGTGTCTTATAGATGGTAGGTAGACACGTAATGGGGCGGTACTTACTCGGGTCTGTGGTAACCTGATCTTTAGGAACCAAATGAGTGACCCCAGTAGTAAAGAGGCTCGGGAGAGACCTCTGATCGAGAGCCTCTTGGAACTGCCGGGCGAGCACAGCGTGACACACCACGAACCCCTTCAGCCAGTAGTGATGCAGCCCGTCGAGTCCCGAACTTTTCCAGTTCGGGGCTCTACGGACTGCCTCGGATACGTCGTCGGGTGTTATGACGACGGGGTCCATGGGTGTAATGTCTGCACATTGGCTCGCCACGACTTGTGTCCAAGGGCCCTCACTGTGGTCTACGGGCTCTGACCACAGGCTGCGCCAGAAGGCGACAGTGTCTGCCTGGTCCGGTCCTTGGCCCGTTCCACAACTCATTGGTCGCTCCAAAGATTTGTAGAGCCTCTTTTGGTCACTCTGGAAGAGGCGATTCTGGCTAAACCGCGCCGTCCTCTCGGAATATCTCCGAATCCGCTTCCCCCAAGCAGCGATCCTCTGCTTCAGGTCATCTATGCGCTCCGTTAGTTTTTGCGTAATGTCCGGCTGGGACAAGTTTATGTTGGTCCCAGCGAACGCCATCCTAACGGTGCGCACAATTCTGGGCCTATTATTGCCCGACCTGAAGCTTATCAGCCTGCCGATGATGGCCCTTACCTTTGCGATACGGTCCTCAATTCTTCTTCTCCATGCTGGGATAGTGCTACCTGGTCTGGTAGCACGTCCAGCCTTGGGAAGTTTGGCGCCAACGATTCGGCATACTGCCAGTGCAGCGCCAAAGAGAATTGAGTCCGTATCGCAAAGATCCCGGCTAGCTTCCAAATAGGTTGCCAGCATCGGGTTAAGAGACCTCACGACAGACCGACTCCGCTTACTTAGGGGTATGCGGGGGAGACGTGGTCGATTCTCGAGAGGCGTTTCGCGCACCTCCAGAATTGCCTCCTCCAATATGCTTCCCATCTGCTCTATTTCTTGGGCGACTATTCCATCATCGCACGAATCTACAGGAGCCGGGGGGTTAACCGCGGCCTCCGCATCTGCTTGTAACCCTGCAGGGTCCGCAGCTTGCGGGGCCGTATCCCCAGCCACTACATTCTCATCCGATGAGGGAACAGCCTCACGACGTAGTCGTTCGAGCTCGGTATCATCAATATTTTTGAGCGCATGATGTACCGAACTCGGTCTGCCAGGTTTTGCTCGGTGACGGTTATAGATGGCTCCAGCTCAGCAAAAAAGCGATGCATCCTTGCCCGATACGCAAACCCTCCAGTCTCACTCCCTTTCGCCCTAAGATACGCCCGCATTGCGTTCCTATTCATATCTTCAGTCCAGCGCAAGCGGCGTATTCCACCAGCGGCGGGTGCCGATTGCTGGATCCGAGAGGATCCTGCCGACACCAAGCCAACTGGTGGGGATGATGGATGCGAGGTACTGCTTGGTGGTCGTGCAGTACCCCGCGCTTGGCTGGCGTCCCGCATGCTGCCACGTCCAGCGCCAGCTCCAGACGCGCCCTGGCGGCCCCCAGGCAGCGGCCCTATGCGCTTTCCTTTTTTTTCCATCATCCATTTTTAGGGCGTCGTTTAACGGAAGACGCCCCCAGACCGGCACCGTTTTCTGTAGTGTGGCCGAACGCACAGACGGGCCTATGCACCCTCACTTATGCCGAGGCACGGTGCAAACACCTATTGGCAAGGCACTGACTGATTGCGCCGGCGCAACAGTTCTGTCACTTGAACTGTTACGCCGGATATTATTATTATTTTTTTTTAAGAAAAAAGTGTGCGGCCAGTATTTATCACTTTTCTATAGGCTTTTTTTTTTCTGGGATAGCTCAGAGGGTTAGTGATCTGTGGCGATGGGCCGGCGATATAGCTCGTAGAACCGATAACGGCCCATCGCCACTTCAGCTTACTAATCCTCTGAGCTATATCGGAAAAGCACCTATAGAAACGGGATATATATTGGCCGCACACTTTTTTTTATCTTTAAAAAAAAAACATTGCTCTTACACACCTTGACAACACCCAGATGCGAAATAATTTTTAGCGACGCGTGGCCATCTCTCGCATTTGCAGCGCCGGGCGCGCCCGAAATGGCGGTGGAGGCGTGCGCGGCGCGCGGCTGCTCGTGCACGCTCGCGTGGCGCGCACCGCCCCAGCCGGCCGCCGTGCGCGGATACGTGCTCGAGCTGGACGACGGGCTCGGCGGGCCGTTCCGGGTGACTTGATGTTTTTTTTTTTTTTTAAGCAAAGCTTCTTAACGCACGCTTGACTTGTAGAGTGAGCTGGTGGATGTGACGAGGGCGTTACGAAATGTGTGATCGCGCGAGGCGAACGGAAAGGTTACGCGAACGGTGATTTCTTGACTGTTAGTTTGTCTATTCTCACCGTGGCACCAACTACGTTGTTTCTCCTGAATCCGTGAATCGTTTATCCACAGACCTCTTCTGACGAAGCCGCCGGTTTAACAGCAAACTACAATTACACTATAAAAATATTTTATCTAGTATCATATTATATACTGTAGTAAAGCAAAGAAGATGACATGGAGAATAAACGCTGCCAGGATTCGAACCGGCGTCTTCTGAGTAACGCGTCCTGAGACGCTCTGGCTCTGGCTAATCGGCGGGGAAAATTTTTCGCCGATGTGTCTAATAAACTATTTTAAGGTTATCTCGAGTGCAAGCTACAACTAAAAATAAAAAAAAAACTCTGAATATAGTTACCTCAACTGTAGGTTTGCGCTTATATTCGAAGAAAGTTACATATAGAACCTATGACCCTTTTAAAGAATGCTTTTTAAATAAATAATGGTGGCGAAATAAGAACCAGCCTCCCGTAGCAATAAACACAATAACCCAATGATGTCGGAGAATTTTCGAAGTGACAACCGGCTCCGGAAACTCGACACCACTTTTTGAATTGGCTTCGATTTATGCAATAAAATTGGCTCCGTATTAATTTCTTTGGTATTGGATCTTAGAAGCCGGAGATACATCCGGAGAAACAAAGAACCTTACTCTTTCACACACCCTTGTCTTTCTCTCAATATACAACTATCAGATTTAATCATAGGTTTGTTAAACGTCATTTCGACATACCACATAGGTGACCTTTGTAAAACTGAGGGCATCTTTTGCAGGAGGTGTATTGCGGCCGCGAAACGGTTTGCACTGTCGACGGTTTGCACTACGCGTCTCTATACAGCGCTCGGGTGAAGGCGTTCAATGGCGCTGGTGAGGGCCCCTACAGTGAGGTGATCGGACTACAGACATCGCCGGGTATGAACACAATATCATAATACCGGTTCAACTTGGTTATTTCGATGAACTGATCAAGGAAATTTTGTCTAAAATTAGAAGCGTATGTATAATAACTTGGGAAGACAGCGACACGGAGTAGTTATGTTTGCCCGAAAATTGACATTGTGCTGCGGCAAACTTTGCCGCAGCACAATGTCAATGTATTGGACACCGTTACGTTCCGCTCGACGATTCCGAGATTTTAATGAATGAGGAAAACCAGAGAGTGAAGAGTAGCTTCATTTAGCGAAAATAAAGAGTCATTAAGTGGCGCATTTGCTGAGATTATTATTTTATCGTTCCTGATCTGGGTGTTTATTCCCAAGGAGAGTTGACTGTTAGTGAAGTATGTTTTAGTGAGTATGTTTATTCCCAAGGAGAGTTGACTGTTAGTGAAGTAAAGGAGTGCGCACTCTGACCCAATTCACGTTTCAGTGGCGTGGTTCAAGCGACTGTAGTAAAGGAGCGCGCACACTGACTGAGTTGACGTTTCAGTGGCGTGGTTCAAGCCAGTGAAGTAAAGTAGCACGCACACTGACAACGTTTCTGTGGAGTGGTTCAAGCGTCTGCAGTAAAGGAGCGCGCACACTGACCGAGGTTTCGTTTCAGTGGCGTGGTTCAAGCCAGTGAAGTAAAGTATCGCGCACACTGACCGAGCTGTCGTTTCAGTTGCGTGGTTCGCGTGGGACGCGCGGTGCGCGGGCGCGGAGGGCGCGCTGACGCTGAGCGCGGACGGGCTTAGCGCGCGCGCCGCCGGCTGGCAGCCGCGCGTCGTGCTCGCCGACCAGCCGCTGGCGCGCGGTGTGCACTACTGGCGGTTGCGCGTCGACAGCTACGACGGCGACGCCGACCCGGCGTTCGGCATCGCGCGCGCCGACGTCGCCAGGGACAAGATGCTCGGTCGGACATCGATCGGATCCATACTTCTTATTTTCCTTTGAAGAGATGGCCGTTCACCCGATGTTCAGTGATGACCGCCGTCCATCGACAATTGCAAATACCTGTAGGTTTGCAGATGCGTTGCCACCCTTAAATAAAGCGGGCCCCTCACTCTGCAGACGGAACGCAAAAAATAATACTTCTACTGCACACCGGTCTTCCGTGTGGTCGTTTTCCCCGGACGGACCTGCCCATCCGTGCAACAGCGCAACACAGAATTGGCAAGCGAGCATGGCAACTCACCCGATGGCGACCGCCGTCGCTCATTCCTTTACTTTTTATGCAAAAGCATACGGAAGTAAAGGAATGAGCGACTTTCCTTTACTTTTTATGCACTTTTTATGCATTGCATAAAAAGTAAAGGAAAGTATCAGCCTATAAATGTCCCACTGCTGGGCAAAGGCCTCCTCTGTACAAAGGACATAGTCCACCACGCGACCCCACTGTGGATTGGCGGACTTCACATATCTTCGAAATATTTCACGATGATTTCCTTCACCGGGGATCGAACTCAAGCTGCTCGAGTATATTGAATCGAGCGCCCGGACACTGAGCTACCACGGCTCAAAGTTCGCGAAAGCATGATAATTCCAAACCCTTCAAGCCGCTGACCACCTTGAAAGTCGACGAAGAGAACTTTAACGCTGACCGCCACCCGTCACGTCGCGTCGACAGGCAGCGACGCGCTCGGCTGGGCGATGTACATCGACGGCTCGCGCTCGTGGTTCGTGCACGGGGGCGCGCACGGCGGCAGGGCGGCCGGCGGCATCGCCAGCGGCCGCACCGTCGGCGTGCTGCTCGACCTCACGCGCGGCACGCTGCGCTTCGCCGTCGACGAGTGCGCGCAGGTGGGCCGCGGGTCGCGTGACCGCGTCACGCCGCGTCGCGTCACGTCACAACACGTCACGTCGTGCGTGACGTTAACGCCGCCGGCCTCAGTCGCCGTTAACGCGCCGAACGGAGACACGCGCGAGATAGAACAGTGGTAGGGGTAGACTTTAACGGTGGGAGGGCCACGCAGCAGCCTCGGCTGTTGCACCAATGGGCAAGCCCGTCCGGGTAAGTACCACGATCTCACAGAAGACCAGCGTAAAGTGGAAGTATGACAAATACTTTCGCTTTTCGTCTGGTGAGTGAGGTAGCCGCACCCTCAGGCGTAGCAGATGTCCATGGGCGGCGGTATTCACTTAACATCAGGTGACCCGTCTGCTCGTTTGGCAACTTTTCGCATAAAAAACAAATAGAACATCACATGATGCAACACGACGCTCTACACGTGGAGATGTCACACAAAGACATGACACGTCACGTTTGATATGTTGTCTTCGTGGGTCGCCCACCTCGCACGTATTTCTACTAGAGATAAGAGATGTCGCGCAAAGACATGACACGTCACGTTTGATATGTTGTCTTCGTGGGTCGCCCACCTCGCCCGTATTTATACTAGAGATGAGGCGTATATACCGGTACAGGTATAAATACCCAGTATGAACGTACCAGTACGCAGACCGGGTATGTACGGCCGAGGCCCGTTCCGGACACGATAGGTATTGTCGATATCGCCCGCGAGTACGCGGACCTAGCACCGCCTCGTCAGACGGTGGCGATATTTCATAACGTTCGCGCTCGACCGCCTCTGCCATTTTGAATTTTCTAAATTATACCAAATAATTCCTTGAGATAAAATTATTCTTTATTTGTTTGATAATTAGGTAGATAAATAGTTAAGTAATACGGTTAAACAGTAATATTTATTTTAAATTACTTTTTTTTGGTAATAGGGTTCTTTACGTAAGTAAAGCTAGAGCTTATTTTAGATTGATTAAATCTCAATTTCAAAAAACAGATTGCTAATAAAACATCTAAATGTTTCATAGGTTCGATTCGATCGAGTCTCTAAAAGGAGGCCTGAACATACCTAATATCTATAGTTATTTTGATACTTCCCGCCGGATAACACTACACCCACAGCTAGTGTTACAACAAATACACTAGTTCGCCCTCGCCTCCGAGCACGGCGAGACCAACACAACGCGTACACAAGGTACACCCGCGTTCAAGGGCGGTTTCTTTCTTCCCAGCCACCGATTAGCTAAAAACACAGTCGACGCCAATCTGAACCGCAACCTCGATGGCCCTTAGATGACATACCATAGTTAAACGCACGCATTAGCACATGCGCGGCCTTACCCACAGCGGAGGGCCTAAACCCGTGGGTTCTTGCTAGCCCACCGGTTTGTGTCAGATGAAGCTTTAATAGTGTCGGGACTGAAAGCAAAAACATCAGTTAATACCATACATTATTTTGATACTGAGTTTTAGCACCGGGTATACGGCAATACCCGTACCTTTGAGGCCGGGTACAGAATGTTTCAGGTATATCTCATGCCTAATTTCTACCGCGTCTGTGTTTTGCACTGGTGAACAAAAGAGTACATCATTCGCTGGCAGTGATTGCATAACCGAAAGAGACCTAATACGACGCCTCGATGTCGGATAACCACTCGGTGATTTGTGAATTACTGAGAAATAAAAACCAAATACAATTCAATACGGATGTTGTATCATATTCGGAAGCATATTTTTCTTTTTCTTGCACAAAAGTCTTGATACCTTCGTAACTCATTTCATAATCTAACAAATCATAATCTAAAAAAAGAAACAATAGCAAGAAATATTCTTTTATTAAATAAATTCACAGTTTTAAACTACACTTTTACAAATTCTTAATAAGCTTTGCCTAAAATAGACTATGTTAATGATGAACATATGACATCTGATTATTATCATTTTACTCACAGCAAAACCTTTTTTGTATTTGGTATTAATGTCATCTGCCAGTTTACTAATTTTTTTTTTTGGCGATTTTAATATCAAAGAAGTCAAAACGGTGCTTTAGTTTATTTGTAAACATATGTTATGGTATCCGAGAATAAACTCTGATACCATTTCATGGGCATTCTGTTTTATGGTCTAACTCTATTGTCCTTTTGCTACATGTGAACGAAGAAAAAAGGACGACTTATCGTACATAAAGATCCATCTCGAAGAGAAGTTGTAGTGCTTCTCTCCTTCAAATCTCAGCCTATAAAAATGTTATATATCTATGATATGCTCATTAACATTAACTTTAATGCTTTACCGTGGTCAGTTTCATACAAACACAGTAACATGTCAGTAGAGGCAATACTAGACAATAATATAGGGGCGCGAACAATCGAACACGTGAAACCGTAAAATTTTAGCAACGTTCGACTCTAGGGCTTTTCGTCACCAGGGCGACGTCGCGTTCACCGGCCTCCGTGGAGCCTTCTACCCAGCCGTGTCACTGAACCGCGGCGTGGCGGTCACGCTGGAGCCTGGACTGCAGCCGCCACCTGAACTGCTGCTGTCCACACTCGCCATAGAGTAGTCCATAGCCAGCGAGCCAGTGAGGGCACTGATATGAATGTCGGTTGCCTACGTGAATGCCGCGACGATGCGTAAACAATTCAACTGCAGGTATTGCCTGCCATTTGAATTTCGACCTTAGAACTTAATTATATGGTCCTTAGAACTTAATTATATGGTCCCGATTTAATTTTCCGAAATTTATTATTGAATCAATCGCCTAACAAAAATATAAATTATCTGTATATTTTTGTTACTCTAATTTTATTTTAATTACATATACTTTTAATATGCTCGTCTTACCAGAAATGATAACTTAAGTTGTCCCAGTTTTGATGTTGGAATGGACAGTTTAAACCACTACCAATACCTCAGCAATGAGCCATCAACACCATTCTGTCAGATTACTTGAAAAGAGATGGGTCGTATCGCTTTTTCTGAGTACCGTATCTGAATCAGATTTCGATTTCAAATATCAGATTTCGAAACTATGTATTTTAATATCTAGATATTTTACGGTCCCGTATCCACCTTGAATTCTAAAAAAAAAAAAAAGAGTATTTCAAAGTTGATTCATTCTATGTACATAATTTTCCTGATATTTAAAACTTAACTTATTTACAATTATGTGTGGGTTAATAATTATTTAGATTCCTCCGGGTTTAAATTCGCGTTTACGAACGTAAGCTGTTTGACTTTAATCGTCGAAAGTCTTGTTCGACGATCATTCTATATAGACATAACTAAAGCTATTACCAGTGATACCAACTGTTCAAAAAGAATACTTCTAAATAAATTCGAAAACCCACTAAAATTGACTAAATTCAAAAAACTTACTGAATTTAAAATCACGATTTTTTTATACTATTAAGGTAAAATTAAAACATTACCTGATAAAATTAAAAATAGAAATTGAGTAATATAAAAATGATTTATTTTAACATCTTATATATCGCTTAATAATTGACTTTAACATATTTTTAAAACACGCAATCATGAGTGACAATATCTTTATAATTTGTGTAAGAAATAATACATTCAGTATTATAACTTAGGGCGGAAGAATTTAAAATATACACACAAAGCACATAAGCCTGGGTCCACTATTACTATTAAATTATACTTTTCTTTTTGTGTACTTTAATTTTTTTCCAAAAATATGAATAAAATTTAACTAATAAAAATATTCACAAAAAATTTATCTCCTAAAAATTTCCATTTATATTTTTCTTCCTTAATTTAGGCAGAAAATTCTTAAGTAGTAAGTTGGCATCCCTTACTATTACGTGATTGGTACCAATGCAATCCAGCTCAAGACTAAACAAAATTTAAAGACATCGTTAATACCGTAATTCGTATTTAAATGCAACAGAGATTTTTTTCCATGCTGTTAAGATTCAAAATTACTTAACTGCGCGCTTTGTCGCCCGTTACGGCTCAAGGCTAAACAAAACAATAGAAATATAATAATATCGTTGTAGTAATACCGTTTTAATTAAATACCATGATTAGTATTTAATTAAAACGGGTCTTATTTGCATGGTGTTAAGATTCAAAATTACTTAACTTATTCATAATATCTGTTTAAAAATCTGATATTGTGCCTTGCTTGCCGTACTGCTCTAACTAGTGTAATATTTGTACCTCACGCGCTTTGTCGCTCAAAATCTGTTTAAAAATCTGATATCGTGCATTGCTTGCCGTCCCGCTCTAACTAGTGAGTATTTATATCTCACGCGCTTTGTCGCTCGATATCTGATACGTGCATTGCTTGCCGTCCCGCTCTAACTAGTGAGTATTTATATCTCACGCGCTTTGTCGCTCGATATCTGATGTCGTGCATTGCTTGCCGTCCCGCTCTAACTAGTGAGTATTTGTATCTCACGCGCTTTGTCTCTCGAAATCTGTTTAAAAATCAGATATTGTGGCAAACGCGTATGATATCGCGATTCGTGTCGGTATAGCGAGCGAGCACGGTACATCAGATTTCGGAAATATCAGATATTGTAAAATACATAGATATTGAACGAGCCAGTAAGCGATATTCGGATATTGTACTAATATCTAGTTTTCATATCTGATACGATTTGTATCGCCCACTTCTACTTGAAAGTAACATTACAAACATTTACAACAAAGATAGAGCGGATATAACAATGAAAGACGGTGAGGAGGAAGACGCTTAATAAGTATACTGCCACAATAGTTAATTACTTTGTATAATAATATTATTTTGTAATATAATAACGTTTATGTATGATTTTCATTAAATATTGTATGTGCAAAGCTTAAATGCGACTTGGTTCGTCCAAGTATTAAAATAGAATACATTTTGCATACATGGATCAAAAACGCTTTTGTTTCTAGCTCCCATCAAAATTGGGTTGCAGTAATTTCATACAAAAGCGTTTTACAGTGATTCAGCGATTTTTGTACTCGATAGTACATGGCCAGAGCTATTTGCGCGAAACATTCACATTTTAGGTTATAATTGTCTTAAAGAGAAAAACCTAACGAAAATGTTCAGTCTAAATGAATTCAGGGAAAAAAAAGTTCCTTCGTTCAAGTTTTGAAATACAATTAGAAGGTGGAAGATGCCAATTTTCGTGTCTAGAGTTTCTATTGACTAGAGTTCGTTGCTTTCTGTTTTTAAATAATACATTAAAATTTCACATGACCTATGGTAATTACTTAATTTATCGTACTTTTTTTATTAATTTCTAAATAAAATAATCAAAGGCATTGCTATGTTTGCTTTAAGAATTCTTAAATAATATTTAATTAACATTAGTTAGCTCAAAAAAATCACATTGTACTTAATGGTACTATAATATATTGTATTTTGTAATAACTATATTCGTAGTTAACATATCATGTGAATTGTCATATTTTACACCTGAATTTTTTTCCTTGTTTGCATAAAGTGTTAATTAAGATTTGGCAACAAGATTCTGTATTTAATCAATTTATCTATAACTACACATTAATTACTGTGTAGTTCTAAACTATGCCATTAGCAGTCTAAATAATGTTCTTAAATTGGATAATACGGTCTAATCACAATTTATTTAACTTTACTAGAAATAAGTATGGTCAAATTGATAGTTAATCTTGTCATTTGAAGTTTCTTCTATGCCTGTTTTGTAATATGTAGTAGCATAGCAAATAATTATTTATTCTATTATTTTGTAATAGCATTTTATCTTCTTTTCTTACATTATGTAAAGATATTCATTATGATGGGGACCTGAACAGAAACCTAAACTATTCCATTACCCACCCCCATGTGATGTGTTCTAATTTTATTTCACTGACAAAACAAATATTATCAGTTAACATTATCCTATTATACCTATGCCTCTGTTTACCATTTGGTTTACACTGAATACCACATAACAGAAAAACATAATATCCGTGTATTCTATATCATTTTGCTTAAAGTGCACAATTATTTTCAAATGAGACACAATATTCAGTAAATTTTTGCGCATTCAAAAAATTTGATGATGTCCTTATGCGAATACTACACAATAAATAAAACTATTTTAGTTGTCATTTATAAAACAGAATCAGGTAAATAGTTTTATTTAAACAATTTACTATAGCAATCAATTGAAATTTGTAAAGTAATTATGCATACTGTTAACATCAAATAATAATAAGTGAAATATGTCCATGTTAATGTAGTACTTAATTTGTATTTGTGACAATAATATACAGTACACCTTTATGCTGTTTTAAATAAAATTATAACATTTACAATATAGACATTTCTTACATGAAAAATATAGACTTCGATGGTAATCCATTATTATAAAAGGCTTATTTCAGATTCTTTTATTGCAACTGTGGTGATTTTTTTAAAATATACCGTTTTAATCATGTAAAATAAATAATAAATAATTGTATGATCTGGGTTTTTTTAATTATTTTACAATGACTTATTTTGGCAATAGCAACAACCGTGTACTGTAGTTGATTATATCTTATGTACTTACATGTTAATGACTGATTACTCAATTAAATAAGTTATATTTTATCAATTGTGTTTTTTTTGTCATAAATGGGAATAATAAATAAATCAACAAAAAACTACTCATATGCATGGTAGTTTCCGATAAGTTTCTCCACACCTATCTATGAGGTATACTTTGGTAGATATCATACTCAATGACCTGGCATATTTTTGCCGGCGAATAAGCTAAGGATTAAACAGATACAATATAAAAAATTAAAAAAAAAGATGTAATTTGTAGAGTTGAAATACTTTTGGGAAATATTTGTAAGTAACTACCAGTATAACTAAAGAGCGTGATTGATTGACTTTATCCCAAATATTTGCGGCTTTAGAACGCACAAAAGACGAGTCCTCCAAATGTAAACAAACAAACAATTATATTAATATTTGTTTTAAGCAAGTAACCTGGCGGTTGGACATACCGAATGTCGAATGATAACCGCTTCCCATGTACATTTGTAACACCTGTAGCAGCAGGTTGCAGATGCGTTGCCACCTTGCAATAAATAAGGCCACGGTTACCGCACTAACCAAACAAAACGCAGATGTTATAAACATATCACTTCCACCCGGACAGACCTGCCCATTCGTGTAACAGCGACTGTTGCGTGGCCCTATCACAGTACAATTGTACAAGAGCGTACAAGATATTTAGATAGATATTGTGAATGTGGTCTCTTAAATCGAACGAACATAGGGAACTAACAAAACCCGGTCAAGTAAGTCTGTATTTTCAGACACAAAATCTCCCCAACCATTACATAAGAATTGATAGACCACGAATCCTCGTAAAAGAATACCGTATTCTGCCAATAACGAACCCTCCATATTTTTTTAGAAAAGATGGCACTTCTATCGTCTTAGAATCCTGATAGGAATCTTTAATTTTTTATATAGATATATACAAATTAGTTTCCGTATTTTTGTATTTTATATTGTATTGACTTGATATTGGTTCACAGCTATTGTGGGAATCGTTATAAAACTATCGTTGTAAAACG